TCGGGGGGCAGGAGAGAATAGTTATTTTTAGCTCCATAGCAGAGTTGAGCTGTGCATCCAGAGATAACTTTGGGACTGATAAGACTAAAAGCTTTTCTCTTTGACCCTGAAGCCCCTTGCACTTGTATGGAGGCAGAAGCAGCTGACTTGCTCGGAGATTCGGGTTCTGCTCATGCTGACACCAAAGTTAGTTTTTACTTCCTGAGTCCACAGCAGCTGGAAATTCCTTTGGGGGTGGAGAGCAGCTCAAGTGAGTGGGCCAGCGAGAAGCATTATGGGGAGTTCCCCGTGGCTGGACAAGGAGAGGCACTTACCAGTAACTGGGGTGGGGGGATGATGTGTCCCAGCCTCTTGTGCTCCTGGGGCACCAGTGTCTTCGGCAACCCTAACAAGTTAAGAGCCACACTGTCCCCTGGAATGCTTGTGTCTCTTCCTCAGTCTCCAAATCCTTTATGTCTCCCTCCATCCGAGTGAACCCTAGATGCTGGTGTCTCATCTCAGTCTCCATTGCCACTGCCGATCCGAGAGGGGCCACCAGTTCCTAAGAACCAATATCCCCTTCCTCCTTCCTGAATTTTGGTTGGGCACATGGCTCTCCACAATCTAGCCCCTTGTGGGGGTTCACCTGGTCATACGAATTGGGCTTCATTCCAGGAAATGTGAGCAGAAGTGGTGTGTGTGGTTTCTGGGTTGTACCAGGAGGGTGCCCTTCACTAGCACGGTCCTCTTTTTCCTGGCTGGAATGAATGCCAGAGCCGCCATCTTGGATCACAAAATGGAACTCATGTTTGAATGGATAAAACGAGAAGACAGAAGGAGCCTGAGCCCCCAGTTCTCTCAGGACATAATTTCAGCCCTGCACCACCAACATGGACTGCTGGGAGAGAAGGAAATCAATGTCTTCTTTGGAGGTCTCTTTGTTACAGCAGCCCACCTCTCTCCTAACCATCTCACTCTTTCTCCGTTGGATTATTACAACAGTCCCCAAATGGGCCTCCTGCCTCCAGTCCCTCTCCTTTCTTTCCGTCTTCTGGAGGGATTACCAGCAAGGAGATTAACCCAATGCCAGCGGATCATGCCACTCTCCTGTATTGGTACCATTTGTTTCTTCCCAGTTAAAACTCCTGTCCCAGGCGCACAGGGACCTCAACTACTATTCCATTCTTAATTCCTGCCACATCTGCCCTCAGATGTGCTGTCTTCCTGCCACACTCTGCTTCTCCCCTGAAATGCAACTGTGGGGTCCTCCTCTGCTCTTCCTGTCCTCTGCATTCCCTTCCTGTGTAGAACGGGACCATTGGCAGATGGGGTGTTGGAGACATGGCCACACGTGACTCCCACACCTAGGTCGTGAGAGACCTCGTGGCTTCTCCTTGCTGTCTCTCGAATCACCTGGGGAAAAGTCAGCCACTGAGTTATGAGGACACGAAAGTGACCATATGGAAATGTCTGTGTGGCTAGAAACTGAGGCCTCCAGCCAAGAGCCAGGCCAGCGAGCCACCAGGGAGCCTGACTCCACCCGTCCCCATGACAACGTCTGACTTGTCTCCTTCAGGGTTAGGCCTTTGCCAACGTCCCTGTTTGTGTTTTCCTGGTCCCCTGGCTCTGGGTCTATGAATCAAGGGCCCCCAAATCACCAATCATGCCAAATTTGGGGTCCAGTTGGTGCCGGTCTCATCAAACCCAGCTGAGCTGGTGACCCTGCCACTCCTGCAGTTCTGATAGGGAAACGCAACCCAAATCGGTCCAAAATTATCCCTGGGTATTATATGATCACGTATCGCAAACAGAATAAAAACATCCCACGGTCCCACAGATGGGCATACTCCCACAAGAACTAGAGGGCTCTCTAGGTTAGCATGCTGAGGGACTGGACTCGGCTGCTCTTGGACACGACTGCCCGTGGGGGTGGAGAGGCGTGGGTTAGAGGCGACTCAGGCTCCTGGGAATTCAATCCCAGGAGCTCAGCATGACCTCTCAACCTGCTCCCTCCCACAGGCTCAGGACTGACCACTGGAGTTTGTGATTTAGAAGCACAAATGAGCTGGCTCAAGAGGGAGAGAAGCCACCCAGGACAGTGGCCTAGTGCTTTGGGGCACAGTGTGGAATGTAAACACTAACAGGGGTGAAGAAACTACGGCTGCAGGCACATTTATCCCGCTGCCTGGTTTTGTGAGCCCCGTGCCTGCTGTGCATATTGTCTGTGGCTGATCCATGCCAAGAGCAGAGCTGAGCAATCTTCACGGAGACATTCGACTGACACGTAAGTTGCTATCTGGCCCTGGGAAAGGTTACCCCATCCCCGGTGCCGCAGTCCGGCTGCAGCAGAATAACGGCGGGGGGTGACGAACAACTTGTGTAGATTGATACAGCAGGAGTGGGAGCCGTTTATTTATTGCAGGACAGGAGCAGTATTTATACATTCCACACAGCTTATCTAATTAACATAAACTTGATACAGCAGTCAACCAATAAGGAATCTCCACACTTAATGGCTCCCTGGAGTTACTTCACAAACCACTCCCTCTGGCATTTTGCTAGGCGCCATCCTGACTTGTTTACAGACTCTAACACCCGGGGTTGACGCATTTACTAGATGTCGGTTTGACCCTTATCTACTTCCTAGGAGAATTCAGCTTTTGGGTCACAGGTTCCGATTAATAATTTACAGCTAATCAAAGGCAGCCTCTTGACATCCTGTCAGAGTGTGACAAACTATAATTTTAAAGCCCCCCAAAGACAAAGTTAACCCCAAATATGATTTTTTGGTTTACATCTTGTAGAAACTTAAATCTAATTTATCTGTGTTCTCTCTCTCTCTCTCTCTCAATCTCTCTCTCTCTCTCTCTGGAGTCTCATTGTTTTGCCCAGGCTGGGCTCGAGGGATCTTCCTACCTCAGGCTCTCAAGTCGCTGGGACTCCAGACACAGGCCACCGTGACTGGGTCGTAATCTTGTTTTTGCATTCTCTCCCTGGCTGACATATCAATTCTGTCTCTCAACGGCTCTTAGAACCAGACATTTTTGCTTCTGGATGATTTCCTTGCTAATGATTAAAATAAACCTTGGCTCCTGGTAACAAATAATTTGTTTGAAAACGATGCATGTACAATCGCTAGCGGCAGAATCATCAGATCTCAGTGAATACACATGGCCCAGGGAGCTTGATTTTTTAAAATGCAGAGTCCAAGGACCTGACCCCAGAAGGTATGCTCCAGTAGACCAGGAAGGGTCCCAGCAAGGACATCCTCCTTCCAGAGAGGATTCTAAAATAAGTGGTTCCTAGATCTCCCTCTGAAAAACCTAGCAGTGCGAGATGAGACCCAAGTTCCCAGGAATAATTGACAAGGTCCCTGGTTACCTGGATCCACCTGTGATCCAATTCATCCTCCCATCACTTCAACACATGGAGGTAGGGACTTCAGGTGAGTCCCAGCTCTGGGCATGTGCAAGGGGTGTTACCCTCTTACCTGGGAAGTTCTTCTGACACTTAAGCCTCGCTGCCTCCTCTGACATGCATTTCTGATTTCTCCCAAGCTCCAGTCTCTCTCTCTCTCTCTCTCTCTCTCTCTCTCTCTCTCTCTCTCCCTCTCTCTCTCCTCCCCGCCCCCCGGGATTTTCTTTTGTTTTGTTTGCACCAGGGATTGAACCCAGGAGCACTTAATCACTGAGCCACATCCCCAGTCCTTTTTTTATTTTTAGACAGTGTTTCACTATGTTGGGGAGGCTGGCCTTGAGCTTGCAATCCCCCTGCCTCAACCTCCCAAATCCAGGGATTACAGGCGTGTGCCACTGCGCCAGGCCCCATCATATATTTCTCAGCGTCCCTACAAGCCACTCTGTTCTCCCACTTACGTAGACTATTTTTTACACCCAGTTGAATCCTAAAGGGCTTTTCTGCCCCAGGATGCCTGGACTCCCTAGGGTGGGGCCCCTGGCTAACGGGACTCGGTATCCTCGTCTCCCATCCCAACCACTAGGGGGCGCTCGGTGAATGCTTATGAAAGAAAGGGGGAGGGCGGGGAGAGGCTCTCAGTGTCCTCAACAGTCCCTTCCGTTTCATCATTTCAGCAGTAAATGTACCCACTTCGCCGCCAGGAACTTGCACACAGGCATGCAGAAATAACGACGATAAGGGTGTTCACTTCTGCACTGTTTAACTTTGTATAAAAAAAGGAAGCACTGGGTGCTGTGTCACCGGCCTCTAATCCAGTGACTGGGGACTGGGGTGAGGAGGGGGGTGATGGCGGGGAGGCAGGAAAGAGGCCAAGTTCAAGGCCAGCCTTGGCAAGGAAACTTAGCTAGACTCTGACTCCAAAATAAAATAAATTTTAAAATGGCTGGGGACGTAACTCCGTGGTAAAGCACCCCGGTAGCACAATAAATAAATAAGAAGCAACCTCCATGTCCATCATTGGGGGACTCATTAGTAACTTATGGTACATCCATGAAATGCAAGGTGGACACAGCCACTGGAAAATGTGAACTATGAACTAGATCTGCATGTGCTTAGATGGGAAGTTCCCCAACACACCCTGTGGAGAGAGACGGGAGTGTGGGGGGTGTGGTTCACCACCCCCCCAACACCGAGAGAGAAGAGAGAGAGAGAGAGAGAGAGAGAGAGAGAGAGAGTATGTGAAATATAGTGACACATAGGGTCCCATCTATGGGCTTTTTAGGGGTCGGGGAGTAAGGTCATGGAAAAACTGGTCTGAGAAAGTGACTTTTTAAGTTTATGATCTCAAAACGATTTGATATTGTAACCATAGTTATAATTAAGTTCATAATTAAAATTGGTTCACCTACAAGGCATCTCTTGCATCCCCCGGGGCCCACGCTGAGCCCTCACTTCCCGTTTGAAAGTGAATTAATTTGCGGATCCACTCTGGAGCCGGGGCGCTCACCCCTCTAGGGGAACCGAGACGGTGGCCGAACCTCCCACCTGTGGCCACCAGGGGGCGCGCCGAAGCCGCCAAACTCGCTACGGAACTGGGCGGTCCCCAGCGAACCATCCCCAACAAAAAGCCCTGTTCTTTCCAAAAGGCTGATGGGGTCTCCCCACAGGGTGTTCACACCCCGTCTCCTCGTAAGTAAACGAACTTAATTGCAATTTAATTTCTTCTAAATTGCACCAACAATTAAAGAGAAATGACTCCCTTCGCTATCTCTTTTCTTTTTCTTTCTTTCTTTTCTTTTTCTTTTTTTTTTTTTTTTTTTTTTGCAACAGGCTCCTGGTAATTTCCGGAGTTTAATGAAGTCCTTTGTGGGGGAAGCAATTGGATTTCAATGACCTCCTCCCTGGAGCTCGCCCCAGTGAGCAGGATCTACCGTCTCCACCTAGTTCTGATTGACTGTGAGTCTCCCAACCTCCCCATGCCTCTCCGTGTTTGCTGTCTGATGATAAATAACCTCCTTTCTTAGAACCGGACATATAAATATTTCTGTCTTTCTGCAGTGTCACGATTCACTTTCTCAAGTACAAAGGGTAGAAAATGGAAAGCCTGTCTCCTGTTGGGGCCCCTCCTCCCTCCTCCCTCCTCCTTCCAAATTGATTTCTGCTGTGGCTTGGTCCCTGCACCCTTGTGGTCTCAGATCTTGAAACCTTTTAGTAGTGGCTACCATGTAAGGAAGAGGACAGAGATGAGTAATACCTGGCACGCCCTTGTTCTCCACGTCCTTACCACTCCGTGTTCTAGCCACTGGGGGAAAGGAACACATAAAAACAAACACCTATGCTATCCACAATCACCAAGAGGTAGAATCAACCCAAATGCCCATCAAATCATGAACAGATTAAAAAAAAAAAAAAAAAAAAACATGGTCTATCCATACAAGGGAGTTTTAGTTAATCGTAAAAAGGAATGAAGTATTGATGCATGATACAAGGTGAATAAACCTCAAAAACATGCTAACTTGTTATTGAGACATGCACCTGTATTCCCAGCTGCTTGGGAGGAGAAACAGTAGATTAGTGGTTTCTCGGGAGGGGGGAGCGATGAAGACCGGTCGGCTTAATAGTTAATAGGTATGAGAGTCTTCCTTGGAGTCATGACAAGGGAACTAGGTACAGGTTGCACGATGTTGTGAATGTCCTCGTTGCCACTGAATTGTTTTAAAATGTCTAATTGCAATGATCTGAATTTCACCTCCGTTAAAAAGAAAAAGGCCCAATCCTCATGGCGTTTCCATCCTAACAGGGATGGACTGACAAGGAACCCTGAAGTGGGCAGATGACATGTAGCGCAATGGCCATCAGACAAGGTGTTCCCTTCTGTCCTGAGGACGTTCCGGCAGGCGCGTGCGAAGGGCAGGGAGAAATTCCAGGTGACAGGAGTCTCCTGCCCAGCTCAGCTGGTGCCTGGGGTGGAGTCCCAGGGCCAGCTCTGTGACCCTGTTCAAGTCACCTGACGTTGTGGATTCGTCCCCACGAGATGCGTGCAGTCTGCAGAGCTGCCGGTGCCCCCAGAACACTCTGTTGTTTCTGGGTGTGTCTGTCTTCCAAGTCTGAAGTCCCTGTTGTTGACATTTTGAAGCTTGTTACTTTGGGACCCAGAGCTCGCTGGGGCATACAAGAAACCGCCTCCCGTTTCTGCTTTGGCCTGAATGACCCGACCGTGAATCCCTTGTCCCAGCCAAGGCTCACACCCAGCCACTGTGGTCTGAATGTGGACTGAGTGTCCCCCGGGCCCCCTGTGAGGTACTGAGAGCAAAAGCTTCATCCAACTGCGGTGTTCGGAGGTAGGGCCTCTGGCAATGGTTGGGGTTAGATACGGTCATTAGGGTGGAGCCACCTGATGGAATCCTAGGACTTTATAAAAAGGAGAGCTGAACAGGGCGTGGTGGCACAGGCCTGCAATCCCCGGAACTCAGGGAGGCTGAGGCAGGAGGATTGCAAGTTCAAGACCAGCCTCAGCAACTTATCGAGACCCTGTCTCAAAATAAAAAATTTTTGAAAAATGAACTGGGGGGTGTGGCTCAGTGGTAAAGTGCCCTGGGTTCAGTCCCCAGCATCCGAATTCTTAAAAGGGGGGCAGCGAGTGGAAGAGGGGAGGCTGGGAGTAGCTCAGCACTTGCCCAGCAAGTGCAAAGCCCTGGGTTGATTCCCAGCACTGCAAAAATAAAAAGAGGGAGAGAGGCCATAAGACACGGTCCCTCTTCCTCCCCGTGGTGTCTTGTGCTGCCTCAGACTTTGCCACCAAGAAGGCCATCACCAGGTGAGGACCCTTAGACCTTGCACCTCCAGAACTGAAAGTCAAAATAAACCCCTTTTTCTTTATAAAGTAGCCTACTTCGGGTATTTTGTTATAGTAACAAAAAAAAAAAAAAAAAAACTAATATAGAAGCCAGTAAAGAACTTCAGGCAGGGACACACTGGAGGGCAATCTCCCTCCTCTTTAGTAGCACAAATCTATGCAAACTGTCCTACCTGTGGAGGTTCACCTCTGGCATAAAGGGGATCAGGGTGACATGGCACATAGAGCCCCATCCTGTGGAAACTTTGTGATGATTGTTGGGGTACAAAGATAGCGCCTAGGAAAGTGAGAAAATCCCCAGGGTCCAGTAGAGGGCACAACGTGACTGTCTTGTCAATGAGAAGGAGAAGGGCAGAGAAGGAGAAGGACTGGCCCAGCATTGCACAGAGCCTGCCTGAATTCTGTCCTTCCTCTGCAGCGGGCCCCAGTCAGGCCTGGGGTGGGCAGGTGTGACCAGATCCAGAGGTGAGCGGGTGAGTGACCACCAGAGCCATTCCGTGTGAGGGGGTGGGAATTTGAATGGATGAAGAGGTAAAAGCCACGGCCGCGTTTGCTGAGGGGCTGATGAGTCCAATGTGTTTCAAAAATCCAGTGTAAATGTCAGGTTGGGTTTTTCTTGAATTTTCTGGCAAAGTGAAATTTATTAACCTGGATTATGATCTTCTTGAAAAGATAAAAACCTGAGCTTTTCTCTCTTGAGACCTCTAAAAAGCTTTTATTTATTTTTGGTACCAGGGATTGAACTCAGGGGCACTGGACCCCTGAGCCCCAGCCCCAGCCCTATTTTGTATTTTATTTAGAGACAGGGTCTCACCGAGTTGCTTATCTCCTCGCTTTTGCTGAGGCTGGCTTTGAACTCGCGATCCTCCTGCCTCAGCCTCCTGAGCCTCGGGCATCACCGACATGAACCTGTGGGCTGGCTCTGGAAAAGCTTTTAAAGAAAATGAAAGACCCCATAAATATGTACAATAACTATGTGTTAATCAAAAAAATTTTTTTAAATGTTTAAGGACATGGAGAGGTGAACTATGCTGATTTTGATCTGAGCACTACACACTGTAGTATACATCAAATTATCACATGGTGTCCCATAAATTTGTACAGTTAACATAATGACTTAAAAAATAAAAATAGGGCTGGGGCTGTAGCTCAGGGGTACAGCACTTGCCTAGCATGCATGAGGCCCTGGGTTCAATCCTCAGCACCACATAAAAATAAACAAATAAAATAAAGGCAATCTGTCCATCTACAACTATAAATAAATTAATTAATTAATAATAAATAAATGAAAATAAATTTTATATAAAGGAGATGAATGGCAATAGTTCTGATAATGGGTGTATGTACAGGGTGCTTAATATATTAAGCACATCATGTGATTTTTTTTTCTTTTAGACTGGGGATTGAACCTAGGGGTGCTTAACCACTGAGCCCACATCCCTAGCCCTTTTTTATATTTTATATTTAGAGACAGGGTCTTGCTAAGTTGCTAAGGCTGGCCTCTAACTTGTGATCCTCCTGCTTCAGCCTCCTGAGATGTTGGGATTATAGGGATGCGCCACTGTGCCCAGCTGAATATGTTTGTGTTTTTAATGTTCTCAGCACCCTTGGAGTAGGTCTATTCTTAGCCCCATTCTAAAAATGGTAAAGTCAAGGTTCAGGGGAATGAAGTCACTCATCCACAGTCACATTGCTTCGAGGGACAGGATTTTCAACCCCCATCCAGTTGCTCCTGGCCCTGCCTGGCATTTGGAAATTTGACTTCTGAAAAGGATTCCTAGGAGCCTGGGAAGATCGACACGCTGCCCAAGGAGAATCCTAAGCCTGTTGGCGAGTGCTCACCAAAATGCAGAATATTCCCACACAGGAACGTACAACATAAAAACAGAAATATTTTAGAAGACACATAGAATCTGTTTTTTGTAATCCTCTTTACAATGCTCAGAATTATCCTGATTTCAGTTTGGGAATCTTTTTTCAGGGCTGGATGTCACTTCTGGTAGAATGTGTGCTGTGTGTGCAGGAAGCCCTTGGCTGCAGCCCCACAAAAGGAAAAAAGAGAGAGCAAGAGAATTTCATCGAGTTTAAGAACAGCCGGCTGTCATCCCAGTGACTTGGGAGGCTGAGGCAGGAGGATGGCAAGTTCAAGGTCAGCCTCAGCAACTTATTGAGGCCCTAAGCAACTTAGCAAGACCCTGTCTCTAAATAAAATAATAAAAAGGGCTGGGGATGTGACTCAGTGGTGAAGCGGCCCTGGGTTCAATCTCCAATACCAAAGAGAGAGAGGGAAAGAGGGAGGGGAGGGGGAGGGGAGGAGGAGGGGAGGGGGAGGGGAGGGGGTAGAGCTGCTTCTCAGCTCGGGGATGTCTTTTTCTTAGGGAGAGAGGGTAGGATTTAGGGGAAGCAGCTAGAGATGTTTGGCAGGGGACATTTAATTCCATCTTTATAAGGGTGTCTGATCTGCAGGCTCTTGCCCTGGAGAGGGCACCTCCTCCAACATAACAGTCCCCTGGGATCACAGAGACAGACACACTGTGGTTGCCAGGCTCTGGGGAAGGAGGTGGGAATGAGGGGCGACTGCGTAATGGGTACCAGCCCTCCTTCTGGGGTGATGGAACAGTTCTGGAACTAGGTAAAGGGCAGTGGTTGACAATGTTGCAAATGTGCTGAGTGCCACTGAGTCACACCTTTAAATGGGCTAAAATGACAAGCTTCATGTTACGAACATTTTAACACAAAACAACCCATGAACAGCCTCCCTCCCCACTCACCTCCTTCAGATCCAGCCACTGCTTTTTTCTCTACTTTTCTAGAATTCTTAGTGGTTTTCACTTGCATCCTTTGAGATCATGCAAGCCAAAGTTTTTTATTATTATTATTATTATTATTATTATTTTGGCATGGGGGATTGACCCCAGGGTTGCTTCACCACTGAGCCACATCCGCAGCCCTTTTTATTTTTATTTAGGGACTTTTTTTTTTAGGAATTGCTTAGAGCCTCGCTACATTGCTGAGGCTGGCCTTGAACTTGTGATCTTCCTGCCTCCGCCTCCTGAGTTGCTAGGATTACAGGTGTGCACCTCCATGCCCAGCCCAAGCCAAAATTTAAGAAATCAACTGTCTGAGGGCCAGTCAAGAACCATAAATCTAGGGGCTGGGGATGTGGCTCAAGCGGTAGCCCACTCGCCTGGCATGCGTGCGGCCCGGGTTCGATCCTCAGCACCACATACAAACAGAGATGTTGTGTCCGCCAATAACTAAAAAATAAATATAAAAAAAAACCAAAAAAAAACCGTAAATCTAGACTAGGAGGGTCCTGTGGGGCCCATGACTGCTATCCCCAATCCAAATGAGCAATGCTCCCTCTGCTCTGGCCACCAGGGGTGTGGTTCAGCAGAGCCTGACAGATTTATTTTCTCATGAAATTTTGGAGATCTGGCCTTCCTCATGAATTTCCTAAGCTTTTTAATTCTGGCAACTAGTTTTTTTTTTTTTTTTTTTAAGAGAGAGAGAGAACTTTTTAATATTTATTTTTTAGTTTTTGGCGGACACAACATCTTTGTTGGTATGTGGTGCTGAGGATCGAACCCGGGCCGCACGCATGCCAGGCGAGCGCACTACCGCTTGAGCCACATCCCCAGCCCAGGCAACTAGTTTAATTTAAAAAAAGAAAGGCACCAGGCAAGTCAGGCAGAATACACATGCCGGCCTAAGTTGGCCCCAAGGCACCTGCTCTGCACAGAGGAGAAAAGCGGAGGTCACGCCACAAATAAGGGACAGAGATGACAGCCCAAGTGTCCTGGTTCTGGAGACAGGTGCTCTCCTTGATTCTTGCTCCAGGGAGTAACAGCACTGAATCCAGGGTCCAATATATCAGGCAGGTCACCCGATTTCTTGGAGTCTCTGCAGCGTGTTCAATGGTAGCCCCTCAAAACGTGTGCCATGTCCTGCCTCCCCCCGCCCCGGAATCATGAACCTGGCCTCATCTGAAAGAGGGTCTTTGCAGATATAAGTCAAGGCTCTTGAGATGGGAGCATCCTGGACTCTGTATGCGGGTCCTAAATCCAGTGGTGAGTGTCCGTGAGAGTGGGATGCAGACACCCAGGAGAAGGTCCTGTGAAGGGAGGCCACCTCAAGCTAAGGAATGCTGATGGCCGCGGGGAGCTGGCCCAGGTGAGGGGGCCTTCCTCTGCAGCTTCTGGAGGACAGGTGGTCCTGCTGACACCTTGACTTTGGGCTTCTGGCTCCAGAACCCTAAGAGAACACAGTTGTGTGGGTTGGGGCCCTCGCCTTGGTGGTAATTTGTTCTGGGAAAGGATCCCAGTCTCTGTGACGCAGGGTACGTGCAGTAGATGCCTGTTGACTGGTGACTGTGATTCTCACTTAAACCACCAAGGAAGAATTCAGGACGCTGCGTGAAGAAAAGTCCTTTGTAAGCAGCTACATTCTTGGCACAGAGGGCATACTTACTGTGGCCTTTGTGGGCTATTTAGGACAAGTGTCCCTGAGTAAGCCTGGCCAGAGGAGCCGGGAGCTTGCAGAAAGGGGGAAAGGGAACAGATGGGCTGCAGGTTGGGGAGGTGTTTGGCTGCAAGTAAGGTGACTCACACCACGAGGGTTTCTCTCCCATGACAAGGAGCTGAGAGGTGGGA